ATATTATTTTTGAGTAAATTACTTTGGAGATTATCATCACTAATATATATTTATTCATTGTTTTCGAACTAGACTATAAATGTGACAGTGCAAATAAATTTGACTTCATACTGCAATCAAAAATGTTTAATGAGTTTCTATTTCTGAGATAAATTCATTACGGTTGACAAATGTGTCAATCAAATCCATTCTCAATTCCTCCTGTGGGTGTAAAAGATATATTTAGAATTTAAAAGTAGTCAAGCTGAGCTGCAGAGCCCCAATAAGTAGGGCAACACATCCATATCAAATAACACACATTCACATAAGGGGGCCACAGACTCTATTTAATGAGGACGCAGGAATGTACACAAGAGGCTGACTAGTACTATCAGCTGTTAATAGGTTACTGATAAATGTGTTGGCATGGATGATGGCTGAAAATGCATATAGTACACAGTGCAGGAAGAGCATGTGAGGTAATTTAGAAACAGTGGCAGCGTTGTTTAGCAGACTCTGTAGTTTATAGTACTCTATAGCACGGGAACTGGCAGGGCAGCATATCAGCAGCTGCAGCTGTGCAGATATTGGTGCAGTTGTACAGTAGTTCAGCTGTAAAACACCCTGCCTTTAGTACATGCACTATATCTTTGTCATGACTCTTTTTGATAAGTGAGTTTGAGGGATCTCTGCTTTTTCTGTACTGGCCAGGCATTAACAAACACCCATGGAGCGAAAGGTTGTCCAAATGTATCCCTAATTTGGCTTTTGGATTAGTCTGAATATTTTTGATTGTGTGTGCTAAACCAGGCAAGAGGTGAATGAAATCTATCCAGCCAGTGTCATGTTAAATATAAGTAAACCCAATAGCAGAGGATAGCCTGTGTCCTGCAGAGTATTTAAAGAGTCACTAAGGACCCTATGATATAAGGTATGTGGGTCTTTGCTGCAGGCATGGCATGTAGGACAGAGAGTGGCCTGCTTGTTTAAAGAGGCTCCTACTGCCACATACAGCACCATACCTCACCATGCCACTGTCAAAAGAGTGGGGCTAGGCTGAACTCCAAGCAATCTCAGTTCTCTCTTTTTCTTCATGCACTCCCATAATTATTGGCACAAAGTACAGCACACAGCAATCCGTGAAACTTCTCTGAGCTGGTTTTCTTGCATGGACTGCAGGTTTGCTATTGGACTCATCCTCTGATCTCTGGTTGGTATGTTGAGCTATTCTCTTATCTTTTTTTAAGATGTGTGGGTTGGTTAATTGGCCTGTAGAATGCAAAGCCTGAATAAGGCTGTACAATATACTGGAGTATGTTGTGCATGCAATGCATGCAAAACTATGTGACTTTTAACAGAGGAAATGGCACATTTGTCTTCTTAGAGATAAAAAGAAAAAAATATTAGTCAGAAATATACCACACCTCTGCTCAAGTCACCACACCGAGTGGTTTTGCTGATACAGCCTCACTTGGTCTAGTGTGGTCAATGCTGGCTAATATTAGCGATCTCACTTCTGATGCAGTTCACTTACTTTATGACTATTCTCTACATGTGCTAGTGTTACACTAAGTTTTATAGCATTTATCTTTTCTGTCTAAATGTTACTTATGGATGCTATTCAGCAAAAGTTACATAGTCTTGCTTTGCACGAAGATCTAACAGAAGTGTAACATCCATCAACTTGTTTTTGTACAGGAATCTTCAATGCAGCAACCCTAATTCCACAGACAGAGCTTCACATACACAGAAAACTTACCAACAAACACTAAACGGAACATGATATTTACAATAAAATAAAGCATGAACCAGCCTTTGTTAAGTATACCCATCCTCTAACTGTGATTCTTTCTTTTCTGTTGTTGGCACACATTTTAATGACTCATGCATCTGCTCTGTTTTGTACAATCATCTTTCTTCTTTCTGCTGACTTTGGATTTTTGCTGTAACACATGGCTTAATTATGAGAGGAACTATCTGTGCAGCAGTTCGAAGAAACAGCTCTTTCTTTGAACTTCTAACAGAAGATATCCGTGCACTCTTCTTCTTATGACCATTTCTTGTCTGTGGTCTCAGTTTGTGAGTTGTGAACTTTGAACAGTTTTTCTAGAATACTAGGTGTGGAATTTAATGTGTGTGATGTAGGTGTGATATCTATCATTGGTGCAGTTTCATTTTCAGTAATTTCACTGCTGTTCATTGTGTACCTACACTACACTAGTGTCATTGTTGTATTTCAATGCCACAGAGGAAGTCAAAGATCTGTTGAAAAAGCTTTAAAACACTACACATTTCTACACAGACTTCTTAGGTTTGTTTCTGATTTCTTTTTACTGAGAATATCAGTAAAAAAGCCTGTCTTTATTTGAAAGAGAAGGCATGGTGCAATGTGAAACACAAGATGATACGCTCAATTGAATCAACAAAAGATTACGATAAAACACAAACTCTTTGAAGTTATTGTGTTTGATATGTATCCCTGAAGGCAGCAGTTCACCTTTAAGCATCTACTGTATAAACAAGCCTGTCACAACTGAGGATTACCTTGTTGATACACATGACTATATTTTTTTTCCTGTGCTTTTAGTGTGCTGGACTGCAGACAAGAATAACTTTGCCTATGGCTTGTTTTCTAATTTCAGCACTCACCATCAAAGTTGCACAGATGGCAAGGCCTTGAGGAGAAAAAAAATGGTGGAGACTGATCAATAGATAACCTCAAAAAACCTCTCACATGGCTCCCCCTTGTGGGATGATGAGGCACAGAGTCCATGGCTGCCACAGTGCAGTTTTGGCGTATGATTTACATTTTAGACACTCCCATGTAGAGCGATTTACAGTTAGTGAACTGTTGGGGATTCACTGTCCTGCTCAAGGACATTCATGACTGGATGGATGGCTGTGGCACAGACTGAAGCTGTAAATTCAGGGTCATGCTGTCACACTTAAAATGTTGAGGGTTTTTTGCTGCTGCTGCTGCCCTGGTGTGCAAAGTTTAATCATAAATTTGTTTCATTTCCTATTCCCCTGTGACTAATATTCATGTGACATTTCACTAAAGGGGGTCACTACACAGAGGCAGCAGTTCAGTGTCTTGCTCAAGGACACTATGACAGGGATGGACATGGGTCTCAAAGGACTTACCAGTTCATTTCAATGATGATATGGACTATCATGCCTGACCTCTTTCCTTCCCTGGTGGTGGAGAAAACCCAGAATCACTACACTGAACAAAAGAAAGGCAGCATCATGAATTTTCATTCATTTGGAGATGTTAGGTAATTGGACTAAATTCTGTCTGGGCCTTATGGCACTTCCTATGTTATTTCAATCTATAAAATGCCATCAAATCTACAGAAATATGTGCACCTGCTGAGCTAGACTGAATTTAATTTGAAATTGGATTAGGATTATATTGGCCATCTTGTGGTATTAAGTTTTCCTGTGCAAATCTACTGCAGTCTCCAGAGTAAAATCAACACTGGCTCTATACACACACACACACACACACACACACACACTTGAGTCAAGAAAGCTGCTGCAGTTTGACACACACCAAAACGAACATTCATCAGTACAAAAAAATGCCCTATTTGCACACACTGCACTTGAGTTATGTTTGCCTTTAATTTATGCCTCCAAAGGGATGCGTAAACAATTACAATTACTTGCGGCAGTCACAGTAAATCACAGTAAATCAGTGTACTAAAACAGCAAGAGCAGATTTACATGCAAATTGGCCCAGGGAAGGTGGCCACATCAGCATTTGAAGTTTACTGTGTTGTGTGTTTCAAGACTACAGAGCGTCTTGTAATTTCAGTTGTTTAGGTCGTAAACAACACACTTCACGCCAAAGACAGCAGGAACAGTATACAAAGTACTGCATTTGTAAAACTGCTCCAAACTTTTCATAAATCATAGCTTTCATCTGGAACTGGTAGGCAATGCCGTAACCTTCTCTAGTACCAGGTACTCAAATGCACTCCATCTCCACTCATTACAGTGCTAGACTACCGTGAAGTGTCTCCAGTAGTGAGCAGCAGAACTGTTCATCAGAGGTGACGTACAAGTGGGAGCAGGGGATTGGGAGACTGATGAAGCTGTGATCCAAACACACGCTCTGCACCTCCACAACAAGCCGTAGGAACAGATTCATCTGAGGAGAATCAACAACAGCACTCGGTGTACACAGGCGCCATGCATAATTAGCACTATAGACACAGTGAGCAGAAATATGCTCAGACTGCTCTGTGATTCAGAGGAACACCAGAATAAATAGGTGCTTTTGTGGTCTAACTTACCGTCAACATGCATGAGGAGGTATTTTGTACCGACAATCAAAGGATCCTCGTGTTTTGGAGAATGTGATCACTTTGAAAGTAGAGGTTAAAATAAAATAATGATTGTGCATTGTGCTGTGAATAGTCTAGACAAGCGACTTCCATTTCGATGGAAATAAGATGAACAATGTGCAGAATTTGAAAGTTCTTTAGTTTTATGCAACAGTAGACTTCACCTAAGTTATATGCAAACACACATAAAAACAAATGTTTTTTTATTATCACTGATTAAAAAAGATCTTGGAACAATTTATAAACCCCAAACAATGTATAAATCCTTCCTGAGGAGCAAAGTTAAATACTGTGCTTCAACATCTGTATAAACTATTTAGAAGCATTACATTTTCAAAAACAAAATATTTTCAAGTGTTGAGTTTATGTATTCTGATATTAAAGAATAAGGCTGGGATTATTCTGTTTTCTCATCGTCAACAAGTCCCAAAAAACAATTATGCATTGGTCCATCTTTGAGAACCACAAACAGGATAGGGAAGTCAAACGCATTCAGACGTTTTCTGATAAAAACAGAGATATTTCAAAACAGGTCTCAAATTTATAGTTTGGATTTGAAAAAAGGTTAAGTAATTTCCTACAACAGCCGGACACTGTAGCAAATGTTACTCACAGCAGTAAATAGTTAGGGACTATTTTTAGCAAGGAATTAATACACATCTGGTGCTCTAGTGACAATTTACAGGAGCACGACAGTGTTCATTCAATTGGCTTTATTTAACTACAGTGTCCATGTTTATGGAAATAATGGAACAAGTCACACAGCGCAACTGTTTGGCTCATTGATGTGTATTCATTAGTAACAATGGAGCTCTACGGCACGGAGGATTGAGATATATCACATTTTGGCAACAGGGACAATACTTTTTAAAAAGATCTGTTCATTGTTGGTTTTGGTCTTGTCACGGGTAGTCTGGCTGAACCCATTATCATTCTGATAGAGGGGAACAAACACTGGTTTGTTTGTATTTCATTAAACTAATCACAATTGTCTTGGGCGGCGCTAAACCCAAGATGCAGCAACTGTGCTCTTGCAAAATAGTGTCAGAAGACAGCAGGAAGGGAGGAGAATGCAGACTGAAATAGTCACCTAATGGCAGACTTATACTAACAGCTTACTTTCTGTGACTATATCTTGGGATTTGCTTGACAATAAGACAAATATAGAATAATACCAGCCTAATCATTCAAATTTATAAATTAATAAACATTGATATCAATTGGTGCAACCTAATAAAAATAAATTGTACAAATACTCCCGAACACAATTATTATAATGCAATAAATACATAATAATACATAAAAGTAATAATGACATCTCATTGTTTTTTAATGTGCTGTCCATGACCCAGTGCAGACAGTAAATTGTTACACTGTGCCTTTTCAGCAGAAAGCGTGGCAGCTCAGGTCTTTGTGCTGACCTCATTCATGCACGGGTGTGATTATTTTCCAAGTCATTTAAGTCGCATAAAAGCATTTAATTAATAAGCGCCCATCCATTCGTGGGATCCCCTTCATAGTTAGCTGAGCATTACTTCTGAGCGCCACTGAGGCGAATCCCCTTAATTGAGAAGTGTCATGAGAGGCATCTGTAAACAGAAGGCACAAAATAAATAGGTCCATGTACATTAAGACCACCTCTACACCTAATTTATTCTTTCATAATTGTCACTGTTCCCAGGGGACAAGTCCATCTTGTGCCGGGTCCCTTCTCATTTACTGTCTGTCACTATTAGATCTCCTTAAGTGTCAGATGCACACAGATGGTCATGCAAGCACCTCAAATGCATTTTGTTAAGGTAGTGTTGTTGAGTTTAGATGATGAATGGATGAGGGGATGTGAGCTTGGTCAAGAGCTATGGATCACTGAACCTGTCCAATCTGAGCAGGCTCTTGCCAAAGTTTGATGCATGACTAGTGCTTCAGAAGTCAAAATAGTACAATACATCTGGGTGTAGGTATCAGCGTGTGT